CTCTATCCCTCTCCCACTCCCTCTCTCTCCTTCTCCCTCTCTGTCTCTTACCTTCTGCCTCTTTCTCTCTCCTCAACTCCTTCTTCCTCTGTCTCTCTCCTTCTCCCTATCCCCCTCTCTCTCTATCCTTCTCCACCTCCCTCTCTCCTTCTCCCTCTCTGTCTCTCTCTCCCTCTCCCTCCCTCTCGCTCTCCCTCAGCTCCAGCAGGAGCTGCTGGCCATGAGACAGCAGCAGGAGCTGCTGGAGAAGGAGCGCAAGCTGGAGCAGCAGAGCCGCGAGCAGGAGATGGAGCGACACCGCCGGGAGCAGCAGGCGCTGGCGCTGAGGAGCAAGGAGCGCACCCGCAAGAGTAGGAGGCAATGCCGCCGGGCGTAGACAGGAGTTCTGAGCCCCCTGACAATGTGTCACCTTGCACCCCCCCCTTAATTTTCTGTATAATTTTACGTATAATTTGACTTATTCTGCCAGGGTGTCTATGCCCCTAGTTGCCCCGGCCTGTAGACACACCAGCCATGCAGAAACAGTACAGAAGTCCATTACTGGACACTCGCATTGTTTTGTGCATCCTTTGCATGCAGCGAACACTGATGTGTGCACATGACTGCAAATTCCCAAGCATACACTGCTGCACGCTCCTATTACAGAAAGCACCTGTTGTTAATATGAGCTTTGAATATCACACCTGGTATATCTACTGCAGCAAAGCAATCATGCTTTAGGGTTAGGGTTATAAAAAAAAATTTTTATTTAGGAAGCCGAGAGCTATACTGCTTTTATGCTTATTTCCCCTGACTGTCCACTAGAGGGCGATATTCCTTTGTTCAAATTGTATGTTCGCCGGTTTGTACGCCTGTCCGTTTCCCAGGATGCTTCGGTGACATTTTTTCCCACTGATCTCTCAGTGTCGCTACTCTCCCGTACGCAGCCGTGACGTGAAATTCTCGCCCGCTGCAGACGACATGCCGAGCGGAGCGATGGAGGCTAATCGGGTGACTCTCTGGCCTTGCAGGTGCAGTAGCCAGCACAGAGGTCAAGCAGAAACTGCAGGAGTTCCTGCTGAGTAAATCAGCCAAGGATCCCAGCATCAACGGCGGCCGGAACGTCATCACCCACCACCCCAAGCTCTGGTACCAGTAAGTGACGTCCTCGGAGCGTCCCAGACCTGTCCGCAGCTCGATGACCGCGTCCCACACTCTTATTTGTGTGTCTGCTTCCTTTTTTGTCCCAGCAGATCAGCCCACCACACATCGTTGGAACAAAGTTCACCCCCCTTGGGAGGGGCATCCCCCACCTACAAGTATACCCCACCCTCACCGATGGACTGCAAGGATGACTTCCCACTGAGGAAGACAGGTACCTGCATGGCCAGAATTCATTCATAACACAACTCCAGTAAAACTTGGGCAAAAACAGACGCGGTAGTGATGCCCTTGAATATACCCTTTTCCAAAAAACATTGCTCTTGTGTTGTTTACAGTGGCATTAGTACAGCTAAATTTGGCTGCTGTTTTTGTTCTCGAATGAGTCAGATTTGCTGAGACTTTTGTAACCTCTTGTTAGTACCGTTCGGGTTTCTAGCAGAAGATCATAGGTAATGATCCCTTAAGATCCGGGGGGGCAGACCATAAATGTGTGACTGGCGGATTGGAGGAGTTGAAAACGGGGGCATTGGGTGCCGGGATGGAGATGTGTGGAGAGAAAGGATAGTGAAAGACGGCTGTTTCTGTGGCAGCACACAGAAGAGAGTGGATGCATACACCAGTCATTAGGCTTTGCCCGGACCAGGGTCTGCAATCCTGATTACGTAACACCTGCCCTTTGTTAGAAATGCCTTCTCATATCTATTCCTATAGGGCTTCAGGATTGAAGGTTTACAGCTGATTTATTCTGGAGAAAAGCAGGGTAACATAACGGTATAACGCCCAGCCAAGGACCGACCGTAGTGTCCCGTTTTACAGCCCTGAGCATGGGGAGGGCCAGCCTGTTTGTGTAATGTGGTCACATGACCCGAAAAACTGGGCTGAACACTGTTCCTTTCCCCAAGAGATGTCCTGACACTAACATAGAACTGTTTGCCTAAAGCCAAATATGTGCTTTTTTTTTTCTTGCACTGAAATTTGAATCTGTGATTTAAAGTAATACACAGTTCATATACTTTTTACACAGGTTTATAGTTTGTTCTTTCAAGAAACAGATGAAATTCTAACGAAATTGCAGACTTACAACAAACAGACATTAAACTGACTTGATCATACGCTACGTTGGTATTCCTGGGCTCCGTCTTGCTTAGATATACTCAGACATGCATAGTGCGGCTTTCGGCTATGATGTAGCTCTCTGAGGTCTGTTTACGGGGAACTTCGAACTTGCTGATGTGTGCTGGAACTGCGACCAGCTGCGTTTCTGCATTATCTAAGCGCAGCCTACCAAAGCCACGGCACGGTTGCGGTTACATCACCGGCAGGCCTGGCTTCGACGCCCGTGCGAGTCCCTCGCTGCTTAATAGCCGCCGCGGCTCGCCGCGTCAGGTTGGCGCCCCAGACGGGCTTAATGAGGAATGACGTCTGGGCCCATGTCTCTGTTTATACGCTCACTCGGGGAAGTGAAAGGCACCCATTAAAAGCACCTTTATAATCCACCGACACTGTTTAAAGGAATGCAGGAGACTGAGAAGTGTTTAATTTCTGCTGAGTTATGCGTTTTGTTAATTGTTTTGAAAATAATACAGGGCTCTCCATCGAAAAAGTGCTTACGCTTTTGGCGTATGTTATTTGAGGAATTCTCCAGGGAAATCTGTATAAATACGAATAATACCTCTCTTGTGGTTTCCACAGTTTCTCATTCTTTACAAGCCAAGTTTCTTTATGATCCCGCTGTGAAGTCAAGGAAACGACGTAACATTCCTTCCTTTTGTGTCGCTGTGAATTATAGTCGCAAACAATTACCTGGTAAATGACTTTGCCATATGGGCTGGCATGTTTGTATTCGCGTCTGTCCAATTAAGCGATCAGACTGTGGGAATTACGTCTCCCGACTGGCGAAATGTAAACACAACGTAAACAGAGCCCAGCTAGCCTGCCAATGCTGAGACGCGGATGACGACCGATCGTGTTTTATTGTATCACTTTGTTCCCGCCTGGGGACTCGATCGCCTCTCTGACAGGGGTCGTGCGTCACTATGAAAATACGCCTGCGGAAAGGGACCTGTAAGGTGGGCGGGTAGGAGGGAAATCGGGACTGCTGTCTGCCAAATTTCTGAACAGAACGATAATTATGGATATATACTGATTCAGCAACATCCAGAAAGTAGGAGAAAGGTCATGGGCATTATAGCAATTTTTTAATGAAAGGCACTTTTTAAATTCAAACCCCATCTTGATGGACGATTGTAACCCAATTTGTCTCGAATTTCTAAAGACGAGAGGCGTACTTCTGACCACTCCAGAAGTTCGTCCCATCCTCAGACTGCATACTAAATCTGTTGTTTTTATTCTTCACTTTTTTTTGGATCTTCCACGTTGAAGCTGTAACTTCTACTCTTAAGAACCACATTTATTTCTCGTAGGTGTACTTTTATACAGCACTTTCAAAAGAACATTCGACAGTCATTTCCTGTCTCTCTACATTATTATTATTTTTTTACCTCAGGCTTGTTTGGTTCTGTCCAAGGCCCCGTTACCCACTTCCTGTCTGTTATCCTTAAAGTCCTCCGCAGGCGGCATACAGGAAGTGCTTTGTTCTGTAATTCCCCTTGCGTCGGCTGACATGTAGGCCGACACCTGTCGATGCTGCCTCTGTGAAGGGGTGGATGCCACAAACCAGCTGATGTCTGGAGTGGCATAAATCGTAGGGGGTGAGCTGAACTAAAGGAAGAGAGGTCTGTAACTGGGATAAAATGATGCTGCATTTTCCATTTGCATAAGTATGAGTATGGGTACATTGGAAGGCTTCTTTTCTCATATCCCATCATGCTCTCCTTTGAGATATATATGCACATAAATAATGTGGAGAGTGAAGCTTGGAGTCTGAACACAGGGTCAAAATGGAGGTGAAGGAAACTTCTTTTACATGGGGATTCTGTGAGCACTATATGGGGGTTCTGTGAGCACTATATGGGGGTTCTGTGAGCACTATATGGGGGTTCTGTGAGCACTATGCCACATCATGTGATGTTTTATCCAAAAATCCATAAAACATATGCCAGTTTTGGAAGTTCACCTCAGCTTGGAACTCACAGGTCGTGCTGCAGGTATGCAGCTGTGAGCAAACACCCCCCCACCCAGCGCACCTCCCCCCCCCCAAGCTGCAGCTAGTGTTTGCTTAAGCGCGATGATGGCTTGGCAAAACAAGTGGCACGGCGTGTGGACCAGTGGGGGCTCGAGTACTTTTTAATGATGCAGCTTTATATAAACAAGAGAGGGGACACGCATATTTGCCTTCTGAATTAAATATCTTAAAGTCTTCCTGGTAATTGCTGGGAAAATATTTTTGTGGTGGGTCTCTAACTGGCACAATCCGTCATGAACATGATTGACTGAACGCAAATATTTTTTAATGCAATTAAACGAATGCTACTGATGAGAAAGCATCCATCTCAAGCAGTACCTAGATAGCTCTGATTTATTTCATTCATTTGCTGTTTTATTTATCGATATCTTCATCCACAAGGCTCCATAGAGATCATTTAAACAGATAAATTCTGGAAACCTCAGGTTTGTTTCTGCATTGTCTCATTATATCATTATACCCCTGATATATATAACCAATTGCCACTTAAAACCTGTGTCCAAAATAGCAGCTATAAAATTACATGTGTGACCTATAAACTGGCAAGGATTTCTGCTAAAAATTGTCTGTGCTATCAGGTGTCTTTCTGTATGTGTCGGTCTAATGACAAACAACGACAAGGAAGTAACCTGAAACGTCTTGCTAGGGTGTGACAGTCCTGCAGTTTGCTTGTGATGCAGTTTGGGACGCTGGCTTTGAATTTTGCTAGAATGGAGACACTTAGGCACAGTGGCCGTAATTATTTGTACAGTGTGACGATGGTTGAAAGCCCACTGGGCTTTGGCTGAGGTGCCGGACGAGGTGCACGTCTGGAAAGCCTGGCATGCTGAGGTTTTTATTAGAAACTGCGCTTCTCTTCTGTGTGTGGAAATTCGGTCTGTAGGGAAGTGAAAATTGCCACCAGTGAAAGACAGATGAAAGGTGAAGTCAGGGAGAATCAGGCCCAGTGCCCACTCCCCCCCCCCCAGCCACTGCCTTTTTCAGGCACATTCCATTGCCCCGCCTTCCACGCCCAGCCGCCCGAGGTGTGCGGCCCGGCAGCTCTGGGTAAAAATAGACGGCAGATGGGGAAGTGGGTCATGCGGCACACCAGTCTGGTGCCCCGCCCCCCATCCCAGTGCTACACAGCTGGGTGCGTGTGGGGGGGCAGGGGGGGCTCATAGGGAGCCCCCAGTTAACTCTGTGACAAACTGGGACATCCATGTGACCTGAAGAACTTTCAAAGAACCCCCCACCCCCCCGCGAGCTCACATACATACAGAGGCCGCCATTGTATGATTTATCATTTCTGTTACACTCATGCCGATTATGTACCAAGACACAGGATTTTCTTAGGCAAAGAAGGATTTGTGCACAAAGCCCCCCTCCCTTGGTGTCCTTTACTCCGGTGTGAGAGATCCTGCCAGGTGAACTATTGGAGATAGTTCTGACCGTGATGGATAGTGCTGCAGCCATCCGTGATCCATCCTCCATCCGACCCTGCGTTACCATGAGGGTTATGATCAGCATCTACCTTGCAAAGTTCTTCTGTTCACTGTCCGTGAGCTTAATATATTCGAGTTTCGCTTAAGGCAGAAAATGAATGGCATTTCCTAGTCTATTTATAAAAACATGATAGTGTAAAAAGGATGGTCATGTAATTATTATAAGAATAATATTTTCAAGTGCGTCCCATTACCATTTTGACTTACAGGGGCAAACCACAGCCTCACCTTAAAGTCCTATAAAAAGTCCCCTGATTACAGCATGTGCTGACTAGTTTACTTCCAAACAGAATGCAGGTGCGTGATGAGCTCCCCTGCTGGTGGGTCGGGGTACTGCGACTATGTTTCCCATTAGGAAAACAGGGACGTATGATTCTCCCGACCCGAAGCTGTGCCATGTTTTTCTGTTAGTTTAACTGCTGCTACTGTATAGGGCTGTGGACACCGGGCCGGCAGGTAGCGGATTGCAGTGACCGTAGCGGTAACATGGTCCAGATGGCAGGCAGCGGATTGCAGTGACCGT